TCAGAACTTCTGCCTTTTCTCCCTCACCCCAACATTATGTATGTCCTTTTCTTTCTATATCTTTTCATCTGCTCATTGTGTTTTCTCTCTGAATATGATAGGAATATTCCTCCAGGGACTTCTTGATGGCATAAAACTTACTTTTCTTCAAACTTGGGCTTTCTTACTGCCAAGTATTTTGCAATAACTAAATTTTGGGCCAGAGTATTAGACAACAAATTGTAGTTTTCTGCTGAGATTTAATTAATTCAAGATAAGCAAAGCCTAATGGAACTCTCATAATCCCACCCCATGTTTTGTCTGAGAAGTTCATGTACAAACTCAAACAGCCTGAGTTGCTGAGATACTAGAAATCAAACTAGAAAATTACCTAAGAATTTCAATATTTTTAGAATTTACTGATTCCTCAGGAATATTATTGTAAAATTTTCCTAACTTCCCTTTCAATGGATATTTGCTGACATGCTGTTACTTTCTGCTAATGTTAAATAAATAGGGACAACATTAACTTTTCCAGGCCACTTAGGAACTCTTTAGAATCTGGAACATCCTGAAAAATAATAATTTCCTGTAAAATTTTCTAGTTCATGATCTGCTTAATAGTAATGTACAGAACATTAAAATGTTGTTGGGAAAAGCTTTCTCACTCTCTTCCAAGATTTTAATGATCTCCAATCAGAGCCCAGTTTTCAGCTGAAACTGTGTAATCCTATGCAATAAATCTTTGTTTGTTCTCCATTAGAGGGAATGATGAGCATATCATTTATTGTTCATCTGTCAGCTGTAAACAAATAAGTGCTAATTGTTTATTGTATAGTGCCAGGACAACACCAACCATTTCCTAAGAAGTGAACTTTTTATACACATTCATAACTCATTATCTTGGTATAATAATAATTAGCATATTCTACTTCAGTGTTAAAGTATATAACTTTTGTTAATTATCCTTCAAGAAAAGCAAAAACACATTTACGAGAAGCAAAAAAAATACCATTTTAAAAGTAAACTCCAGTGTTAGGTCATTTATTACTTTGATTTCTGGGTTTGTAAGTTGTATATGTGAAGATGTTATATTCTAAATATATTCAGAATATAGATGGAAGTATCCCTAAGGCTGAATAGATGTAACCCAAGGGATAGACAAAGAGTACAGAATATGATTCATAACATACAAAGAATGGAGGAGGAAGAAAAAGGAGGAAAAGAATATCTTCTTCTGAAGTTTTATTTATAAAAATGTTTTTCCTGTTATTTCTCACTTTACAAATTTCATTGTTTGTCATGTGTCTGTTTGTCATGGAAACCTGAGCTATATCCAAAGATAAACATGTTCAGTTGCTTAGAAGTAGAGAAATAAATGAACTTGATATAAGCCTTGAATATAGCATAATCATCAAACTAGAGCTTCTAGCTAATTTGTATTCTTTCTTTATATGAACTATTCCATTCATTGTCTTTTTATTTAATGACCTTCTGCATTACGTGCTAGAAATGAGCAACTGTTATGTTCTAAGCACATTTTATTTTGAATATATTATTTCTCTTATTCCTCACAACCATCCTTAAAATGGGATTTATCCTTCTCTTACTGGTACAGAAGCTAAACCTGAGTTTAAATTGAACTAAATCTTATCTTTGACTCTTAGGTGCTAATAGAGTTACGAAGATAAGGAAGATATTGTTCTGGACCTTAGAAGCTTATATTCTAATGAGAGTTTGAACATTAAACATGAACGCACATATACACATAACACCTGTAACAAGAGGTAGCATGTGATGAATTATAAAAAGGCCAAAAACTATAATATGTAGAATCATATCTTCCCTTAAATTTGGGGTATGCAAAAATTTAGCTTACAAACTAGATTACCTGAGAAGTCTTAGCCAACAATAAATGCACTGTATGCCAAGTGTGTTTTGAAAAAACAAATTTGCCTTAATGCACTTATGAGTCACAGCAACAGTATCAAAAATCATGATGACCTAAAAAGACAAAGGCTAGAACATGCAAAGTCAGAATCCTAACTACTGAGCTACTAAAGTCAAGTAAGCAGTTAGGATTCAGAATTGAAAGCAAAGCATATCGAGCAAGACCTGATCACAAGACATGGGATACACCAATACCAGGTGGCTTTGGAAAGTAAAAGAGACAAATATTAAAAATGAGACATCTTCTGTGTCAGCCAAGATGTATCACATATTTCCTGATGTGAAAAAGCTATTCCTCAACCTGCAGTTAGAATTAGTAGTTCACCATAAGATAATAGTACATGGATGAACCAGGCCAAATGGGGAAGTTGAGGCCTAAGGACATACTAGGAATGAGTGGAAAAGTTTGGTTTAATATTTTAATTTTGATTTATGAGCATATTTTCTGAAATGATAGTTCTGTTTTTATTGTGGCTTAGAATAGTCTTAAAATAATATATTTGTTATTGGCTATTTCTACCTAATATTTCTTTCAGTAAAGATATTCCTGGAATTGCTGCTAAGCCAGTACTATGAGCTACTGTCTAATCATCATCATCACCATTACCATCATTTGTCATTTATTAAACACCTGTTATATGTCAGATATTGTGCTAAGTTCTTTACAAACACCATATTTAATCCTTTCAGCAAACCTAGGAGGTGGGTACAATTGTTGTCCTCATTTTAAAACTGGGACTCATAGAAGCAATCAGCCTAAGATCATTTGCAAATCTAATCATTTTCTGTTGGCAGGATTCAGACCAATGATTCGGTGTCACTCCAGAGCATGTACTCTTGATTATATTAATACCCATACTATTTCCTAGAGTTAAAACTTATGGTTTTTATTTGAATTCAGATGATATAATAATTCCATGAGTGAAACCAAAGAAAAAAATATAAGAAAACTGCTTTTTTATCAAATGATAAATTATTTAAAAATATATAATATCAGACTGCTTCTCCTTTTTATTATAAATTATATGAGAAAGTCCCTCAAATATAGTACAGTATCTATTGAACAGTTTCATCATTTTGAAAAATGTTTTGAAAGATTCATTTTTCATATAGATGAAAATGTCCAAAATAAATATAAATAAAATACTTCCATTTAGTCAACTTGAGACCATATTTACTTTTAATAAATTTGGTGAAATATATATATGTATATCCAACATTACCAATTTTAGCCAATTTATACAATATATAAAATATAAATGTTTGTTGATTTTAATTATGCATTTATATATAATATAATGTTAATAACATACTCTAATACATCTACATATTTATATATACTGGCTAACACATAATGTTGGATCCACCCACTGAAATGCTGTCTAGGCAATGACTGAATACATTGTCATTTAAAGTAAATTGTTTTTGATATTGTAAAATGACAATTTGAAAAAGAATATCATAGATTAAATTATGTCCAAATAAACCCCCTGTAAATAAGCACTTTTCCTTTTAAAATCAAACGGGAAGGTTCTCTTTACATATATTTCCTGAAAAAAGGCAGGAATCTTTTGAAGAATTTAATTGTATTCTTTTGATTATTGAGAGTTCATCCAATAAAGTAGAAAGTTAAATAGACCAAGAAAGGCCAATATTTCACCTAACTTGAATGTCTATTTCTAGATTAAGGGTTTGACTATTGAAATTTTATGGAGTTTTAGGAATAGTCCCTTTATTTTACATTTGAAGAAAAAGGTTAGTTATTAACTCAAAAATAGACAACTAGATACTGGGAGATTCTGGAAATAAAAAAAACAGATCATTGAATATCATTTAATGTTTCTGCTACACCCTCCTGCCATTCAATTTACCTTTGTCAAAATGTTTTTATTTATCTAATATTTTCAGTAAATGGTTATTGATACCGAACTGCTGATTAGGTAATGATTCTCCAAGTCACAGTAAATGCTTTATATAAGATAATCATTTTTCTAAGGCTTTGTGAAATTTGCCAGTATCTATAATTAGAAAAATCTCCTTTGTAAAATTGATGAAGTAAGGATGTTTTAGCGTTCTGTTTGAAGTGCATATAAATAAAGAAAAATCTAATAGCAGATACTCTTTTAACCCACTAATAGCTGTCAGGTAACAATGAGACAGTGAAAATACTGATTGCATTTATATTATGCAGGATTCCAGACATGTATTTTTCTAAGTTTTGAAGCAATCCTGCAAAGAAGTTATTAGCACTATGACTGTATAAACGGGCTTTGAAAAGTTCGGCAATTGGCTCAAGTTTATCCAGCTAGTAAATTTTCCTTACTAGGACTCCAAAGTCAATTCTTTTTCACGTCTCAATATCATTAACATAAAGCATCTATGATGGTTCTCAGTTTACCAGAACATCTGAACACCCAGAACCCTGCACCCTACCCTGGCTGTGCCACATAACTATCTGAGTATTTCAATTCCAGGAAGTTTGGACTATTATAAATAATAATGACTCTTTCTAGTATTCCTAGGATTCATCAAAATTCCAGCAACCATTCAGAAGTTAAACTTCTCTTTTCTCTTGGCTTTTCTAAAAAAAAAAGTTAGTGTTTTAATAATTAGATTTTGTATTATCTCTAGGTTTTCAGTGAAATGTAATGGATTAAAGAAAATGGATGCCTACTAAAATTGGTTTTTATAAGTTACAATAGTAACTTTATCATGCTTTCTTTCAAATTTTATTCAAAAATAAAAATAACTCTACTTCCTAATTTTAAGCCAAATATTTATTTCCCAGATTTTACCTAAATGTTCTTCCATTGCTGTTGTGAAACTGGTTTAATGGCTTTCCATTGGGCTGCGGTGAAAATGCTCTAATGGCCTTTCCTAAAAACAAGGGTTTCGTATAAATTGAATTTTTCTTTTAGGATAATTGCCATTCACTTTTGTTTTATATGCATCTGAGTGGGGTTCTGCAGTATCCTCTGTGGACAATTAAAGTGCTGAAATAGGAGAAGCTAGTAATTACTCTGTGTGGTAATACTGACAACTTGTGCGTATTTGTCAATCTGTGTTAACAGTATCGATCAGGATGGGATCCTCATAGAGGGGCAGATAATATTTCCACTAAATCTTCGGACAGTGATGTAAGTGATATATCTGCGGTTTCAAGGACTAGTAGTGCTTCTCGTTTCAGCAGCACAAGCTACATGTCTGTCCAGTCAGAACGGCCAGGAGGAAACAAGAAAATCAGGTGAGTAAGGGGATTTGAGTAGGAAAATTCTTCTAAATATATTTTAGAATGTCTGTATTGTCTTTGGATAAACACAAAACCCTTTTTTCTAAAGATTTAATATATATCATTAAGGAAATAAGACATTCTGTACATATTTTTACAACATTTTGGTGTACATTTCAAACTTCTTGCACAGAAAAGTTTTTTAGAACTTATAACAATTTTGTAAGTAGATTACTTGAAATAGTATCATTAGATTTTTTTATGTTTGCTATTAAGAAATAATTCTGTTTTCATATTGTCACTGAAATTAAAATGATGGTTAAGTGAAGACTTCATTTTTGATGTCCCAAAGATATGAAAAATACTATTTTGGAGGGTTGTTTTTTTCCCTAGCTCAGTACACTTCAGAGATTCGGAATACATAAGAATATCACTTTTTTAGTAGGATTCTCTCTTCCATTCTCCTGAGACTTTTATAAATGTGTGGAAAACGTCCTCAGTTTCTCAAGAAAATTCATAAATGTAATTATAAGTTAGTATAATTTTCATTTATCACCTGACTGGATTTTATGGGTACCTGAGATAAATTATTTTTTTCTACTCTTATTGCATCAAAATAATCTATAAAGGAGTGACCACAACTTTTTCTGTCTAACTTTGTAACAGAAAAATATGGTTTACAAAGATTTAGGAGTAAGTGTTTTACACAATGCTTCTCTGGTACATACTGGAAAAATGTTTTGAATGTTTAAAAGATGTCATTTTATTTATGTTTTAGTAATTTTCATTACATTTCTGTTTAATTTTGTATACATTTTTTGACTTTTTCTTTCTTTCTTTGTGTTTATTTGCATGCCTTCAACTTGTGTTGTTTTCAAAGGCCAAAGGGAATAGAAGAGGGAGGGACAGAAGGGGATAAGCATGAAGAGGTAGTTCTTGAGGAGGAAGAGGTAAAGGAAGAAAGAATTCATGAGAATGGGAAAGGGAAAGGCATTACAAAAATGTGTAATCAGGAGAAAAACAGAGAATCAGGAGACAAGGAAAAAACACAAGATATGCCTGAGCAAGGGAAAGAAAAAGAACAGTGGAATAAAGAGGATTTGCAAAGGCAGTTCTCACAAGATGATGACAGGTAAAATTTGCTTATTTTTGTAGACTTATCCCAATAGTAATATAGTCCTTTGTCCTCCTGAAAACTATTTTGCCCTATACATTTGGTTTCTTTTCTTGTGTTCTACCTATTTAGCTTCTAATACACTTAATTAATGTGTTGGCAAGTCATTATCAAATAGATTGAATTATTAAATAGTTTTTAATTTGTACCCACTAGTTCTGAGAGTCTGATTAATGTGGTTTTCAAGTTCTTTATGACTAGCTGAATCAAATGCAAATTTTCCTTTAGTTTTTTTTAGCATGAATTCCTGTATATCTTCCCCACTTGTAGAAGTCGAAACATTTAAAATGAGGCTCTGAAGGGGATGAAAAATTTCGCCTATTTTATAAGAAATAAGAGCTGGCAAAAAGTAAACTTTCTTGAGTCTCTGGCTGCTTCACTTCTTAGTTTTCTGATGGGTTCTGGTGCAGTTTTGAGCCTGAGGAAGCTGGGACCATGCTCTTTGATACTCTGAGAAGGGATAGATGCCCTAGGGCTCGTTGAAAAGCAAATGTGTTGTGTTAGGCCCTTCTAGCTGAAACTCATTCAGCTAGAGAAATTGCCAGCGGAGGAGCTTTGAACAGGGGAGAAAGGCAGGAGAAAACAGAAGCAGCAAGACGCGTTCACTGTCGTGGCACGAGGCCTGTGAAAGCAGGAAGCTCTCTTGGCAGCGCTGCACCGAAAGCCTGAGCGGTGCAGGTGTGCAGTAAGCTTCACCTTCCTGCCTGAGGGAATGAGGTTTCTCTGACATGGAGAATTGCAAGTCATGTACGTTTTGGAGGAATTTGGTTTCATGGTAGTCTATCCAGAATTTGATTTTTGTGTTAGTACAAAGTCAGCTTGATAAGCACACCCTGTAATAAGCCAAATTTTGCATTATTGTATCCAAACCCAATCTCAACTTGTGCTTTCCTCATAATTAATGAAAAAGATAATTAGGACAGATGTTTACCCCTTGGGTATGCAATTCAGTGGTTTAGTCTATGTCAGTTTATTTTTTTTTGTCTCAGGTTGATAGATTTAACTACATTTGTGATCTATGAAAGTTTTTGTATAACAGACATTACAAATGAAAGTGAATCTTAAGTTAGGCATATTTTGTGAGTTGAGTCTAAACTAGTAATTTCAAGTCTACCTTCATTATTTATGTAACTTTTGGTAATTACATTAGTTTATTAACAAAGACAATTTTTCTGATTTGTTGGGCAAATCTACCTTGATGGTGCTTTCTATTCCCATGGCTTCAGGTAACATCTATATGTTGATGACTTCCAAATCTGTATTTCCAGCCCAGATCTCTTCATTAATCACCTGTCAGATCTATCCAGCCCTGTTCTGGCCATCTTCTTGTCTGTCCTGTGGATATACCAAACTCAGCATGTAAAATTAAACTCATCATACCCCTCACCAAACATGTAACCAAAATTAATAACTTGCTTCTCCCTTTGTACCTTCTTTGTCAGTGTATGACACCACTATGGTCACACCTGCCCAGAGAAGAATGCCTCTGTAGTCTTTCTCCACTGAGCGCAAGTCCTTCCCTCCAGTCACCAAGTCTTACTGATTCTAATGCTTAATTACCTCTGAAATATGTCCATTTCTCCCTGACCCTATTTTCTACTTCCATAATTTAAGCTTTATTATCTCTATGGAGATTAGTTTCAGAGGAAATTTTTATCTTTTGAAAATAATAACCCAGAAATCTGAGCTCGTTATGCAAAATGAGTTGTCAACTTCTCTGAAGTAGTTCATTTCTGTATTATATACTTTATGAAGATGAATTTTAGGTTATATGAATTATATCTTGAAAAATGCTTGAAAGGTCTCTGCCAAAGAAAAGAGAAATCTACAACCTATATTGCTTCTCAGTAAATATTGTAAGTATTTTGAGTATAGTGGTGATAAAAGGCAGCTGATATTTTGTTTAGGGTTTCATTTGTCAAAGCATGTTTTTGTTCTATTCCAGTACTCCTAAGAGCCACCTTTCTGTAAAATGTTCATCTCTTTTTTTAAATTTCTGCATACATTTTTAACATTACTATGCTACTAAAGATGAACAAAACACAGACCTTATTCTCAAGAAAAGGTGGATTTTCTTTCTCTTTTTTTCAGCCCACAATTTATCCTTTACACATAAATATATATGATTGTTGGCCTAAAACTGTGCACTTGCCTGCACATGTGCCCTCTCTCTCTACATATATATATATAGAGAGAGAGAGACATTTCTCAGTTAATAAGTAAATACACTAATCTTATAAAAATGTAGGAAAATTATTGGATTCAGTGTTGATTCTCTATCATATTATTTTTCCATACACAGTAAACCAGAGTATACTTGTGATTTCAGTCTGCATATTGGATCACTGAAAGTGAGAGATTTGAGATTGTATCATGTATATGGTCTGAAGAAGAGGAGCCTTTGAAGATAGTGTTGAGAATGCACAGCTACTAGAGTAAGAATCTGAAGATGGAAGAGGGGTTTGTGTCAGAAGCATAGGTGGATGGACTGGATCAAACCCAAAGGCAGATATGAAAATTGATCATTTATTAGACAGGGAGTTCAGCAGTTAGCTGCCACTGCCTGATGGCCTTAATTTTCTCAAACATGTATGAGGCAAGAATATAAGCGTTTGGAAGTTGAATTAGATATTTGATTTGAAGATCTGGAATAATCATTGAAGAAAATAAGAGAAGTAGCCAGCTGACCAAGGACAAATTAGAGAGTGAAGAAGAGTTCCAAATATAACTCTGCAGATCCAGCTGAGGACTGGAGACCAACAGTTTCAAGAGACATCAGTGTGGGAGAGTAATGTGATCTTTTCTAACACCACTGAGCCAATCCAAGTGCAGAGACACAGTCAGACTGTAGCATTTATGGAGGAGTGGGAGTTTTGATGGATAAGGTTGTTGGAAAAGAGCAGTGGAAAGAAATTGAGGGTGCTGTGTAAATGTCAGTGCTAGATAATAAAGAAGAAAAATCCAGATGGGATCTGATAGACAAGGAAAATAGAGAAAATCCAAGAATTAGAAAATTATATCATGTAGTAAAAAAGCAAGTTTAGGATGCTGAAAGGGTGAAAAATTTTAGGGTTCATCTTTGAAATTTAAGGTTTTGTGATGAAGCTGTTTCATTAGTTGACAAATTCTGAGATACAAGCATTAGAGTGAGTAAAATAGAGTGGATGAAAAGAATAAATATGAAGATCACTGGTGATGTGCAAGTTTTAGAATTTAGAATTTTGGCCTAGGTCTTCTTAATAAATACTTAAGTCTCATAGAATTATGGTAAAATTGAGAATTGAAAAAGCGGTGTAAGCTAGCTCCTATAAACCTCAGTGAATGAGTCAGTAACTATGAGGTCAACAGATAAGGAAGAAAGGAGAAAAAGGGAGAGGTATATGTTGGCATAGCCAGAAATCGTAAGTTGCAAAGAAATTTAAACTTTTAAATAAAAGTAGAAGAAAAATACTGAAGAAAAAATAGCCAGCAGTTAGAAACATTACAACCTATGAAAAAGGATGCATATTTGTCACTAGAGTATTTCAGGGGAAGCAGTGTGTTCAAGGAAGCACCAGGTGATCTTTTCAGCTAACTCATAATATTGATAGTTCAATTCCACATTTCCATTCTTTGATATGAAATTGGAGATCAGCATTAATTAAAATTTACTGCCAAATCTTACATAAATTTTAAGAGACTTCCAAAATTTAATTGACTTTATAATGTAATCATTATTAGCAATTTCTGTTCATTTGTATTTCTGTGGTGACTGGTTATTCTACCCTGTTATCACACAGAAAGTCTTATTCAGAGATGCCTATATAGATTCATTTTTATTGATGAATTGATTATATTATGG